TCATAAGAGGCAACTAAAAGGGGGCTGCCTGGAGAGGGATAGGCTCCACCAGGTTAGAAATTTGTCTAAGACGCACCAAATGATGAGCAAGTTAGCCATGTCCATACTGGATTGGTTGCAGCCTGGGTTAATAATGACCATGCCAACCGTCTCCCACCAGGGTGGAAGCGACAAGTATACTACTGGTGTAACACCAATAAAGAGGAGCCGTGGAAGAGATAACATTACCATAGCCACATGGAATGTAAGGACATTGAGACAAATAGGGAGGTTGAAAACTTACGTACGAAATGGAACAATACACTTGGCACCTCCTAGGAATCTCTGAGATCAGATGGAAGAACTTTGGAGAGGCACTAACGAAAGAAGTACTCTCTCTTACAGTGGAGAGGACAAACATGTCAATGGCGTAGAATTTCTTGTGCATAAGGATATCAAGAATTCAGTATTAAGATGCTACCCAATATCCAGCAGGCTTATTTCCATCTGTCTAAAGGCAGTACCATTCAATATCAGAGTGGTACAAGGCAACACCCCTACAACAGACTAAAACGGATGAGCAAATTGAAGATTTTTATGATCTGCTCCAAGATGTAATTGATAAGGTACACAAGAAAGATACCTTGATTGTACAGGGAGATTGGAATGCTAAAGTGGGTACTGATGCGCAGCAGATAAGGCCACAATAATCTTGCCATTCTGTAATGCGGTAACCAATGAAAGAGGACTGAGACTTTTGGGGTTTCCCAGCTATAACAATCTGGTTCTTGTAAACATATTGAGTACATAAAGCATCCAGGCGATCAATGTGGCATGCACTTGATGGTTTACATCACAGTCAGATCAACTACATCATGTGCAAAACCGATTTTGTTCTTGGATCAACAGAGCTAAAACAAGGTGCTGACGTTGGAAGTGATCACGACCTTATGATGCTAAACTTTTGGCTGCAGCTAAGGAAAATTGTTAGGCCAAAGTTTATCAGAATCAAGTTTGACTTCAAAAGACTTAGACTGAAGCATTGCAGGGTCATTCCAAGCAATGATCGGTGGAAAATTTGCTCCATTGTTTGTTTCTACGTCTTCTTCTAGAGCAATGACCAACAATTTCAGCACTGTAATGAATGAGGCAGCAATGGACATTCTTGGGGAAACACCATAAGAAGATAAAACCTTGGGTCACAAATGAAATACTACAAATGTGTGACATTAAAAGAGAACTCGAGAGACAAGAACAGCACTGAGGGAGCTGATAAATACAGAGCGATTGGCAAAAAGATCAAGAAGGCAATGAAGGTGGCCAAGGAGATATGGATAGAAAAACAATGCTCTAAAAATGAAGAGCATATCAATAATAAAAATAGCAAATGAGTCTTCCCAATTGTAAAAGATCTGACGAAGGAAAGATGGACCAATGCTAATGCAATTCAAGACAAAGAAGGGAACAGTCTTACAGAAGAAAAGGACATAGACTCCTAGACTTTAAGGTTAGAAGGGACCATTATGATCTTCTAGTCTGACCTCCTGCACAATGCAGGCCACAGAATCTCACCCACCCACCCACTCCTGTAACAAACCCCTGAGCTATTGAAGTCCTCAACTTATGGTTTAAAGACTTCAAGGTGCAGAGAATCCTCCAGCAAGGGACCGGTGCCCCATGCTGCAGAGGAAGGCGAAAACCCCCCAGGGCCTCTGCCAATCTGCCCTGGAGGAAAATTCCTTCCCAACCCCAAATATGGCGCTGTCATCAATAGGTGGATACATTACTGCTTTGATCTATACAATCGCTATACAAATGGAGATCCTAGTGTTCTAGACAGCCCAGATTCAACAGCAGAGGATGACTTTCCAATACTGCGGGAAGAAGTGGAGACAGCTGTGAAATCACCCAAGAACGGAAAGGCTACAGGTATTGACAACATCCCAGCCGAACTGATGAAATTCGGAGGAGAAATAGTAATAGATGTACTCACCAAGATCTGCAACAAGATCTGGTAGACCAGTGAGTGGCCCTCCACGTGGACACAGTCACTAACCTCCATCTACCAAAGAAAGGCAATCGAACTATAAGCTTAATTAGCCATCCCAGCAAAGTGATGTTGAAAGTTGTATTGAACAGATTGAAGCCACAAGTGGAGAACATCATCGCTAAAGAACAGGCTGGTTTTCATGCTGGAAGAAGTACCACAGAACAGATTTTCAGTCTCCGTGTTCTATGTGAGAAGTACTTACAACACCACCAGGACATCTACCACATCTTTGTTCACTTCAAGAAGGCGTTTAACAGAGTATGGCATGAAGCTCTCTGGGCAAGCATGAAGAAGTACAATGTTGGTCATAAGCTTATTCTTACCGTTAAACAACTGTATGCCAAGGCCAGCAGTGCAGTTCTCGTCAATGGCACAATAGGAGAGTGGTTTCATACCAAGGCTGCCACGCTGTTCAACATGTACTTGGAGCGCATAATGACTCATGCCCTGGAAGATTACACATGCACAATCAGCACTGGGGGGATGAACAATCTCAAATCTTTGGTTTGTTGATGACATTGATGGCCTGGCAGGTAGTGAAGATGAACTTGCCAACCTTGTGAAATGATTGGATGAAACCTCCACAAAATACGGTATAGAAATCAGTGCAGAGAAAACCAAGCTGATGACAGGATCAGCTCATATATCACTGTCAGTGGACAAGAGCTGGAGACAGTGAAACAGTTCAAGTATTTAGGGGCAAGGATCAAAGGCAGAAATTCTGGCAAGAACTGCACAAACAGCAACAACAGTGGCAAAGCTAAAGCCAATCCGGAGGAACAAGAAGATCTCTCTGGAATCCAAACTGCTGCACGCACCAGTCATCTCCATTTTTATGTATGTGTGAGAGACATGGACCCTTAGAGCAGAACTTGAATGGAAAATACAGGTGGTAGAGATGAGATACTTTCGTGAAACCCCAGGCATCTCCTACTTCGACCACGTCACTAATGAAGAGGTCCACAACATCATCACTCAATGCTCTGCTCATATGAAGACCTCCTGATGACCATGAAGAAGCGCAAGCGGAAGTGTTACGGCCATGTAACAAGATCTGGCCTATCCAAGTTCATCCTCCAAGGGACAGTACAGGGAGAGAGAAGAAGAGGTAGACAGAAGAAGAGATGGATTGACAACATAAAAGAGTGGACAGGAATGGACTTCACGGAGATTCAAGCACTGACACACAATCGTCAGGGGGGAGACCATTGGTTGATTGGTCGTTGGGGCACCATCATTGATAAGCAAAGCGGTTATGGGAGTGATGATGACAAGACAGATTGGACACTTATTTGCTCTCCGTTATAACGCAAGAACAGAGTACGTTTGGTGAATTTAAAACTGATTAAAAATATTTTTTTACACAATACAGTAAAGCTTTGCCATCTGGCATGTTAGGGGAATGGTAGTTGCCAGTTAGTCAAAAATTCCAGTTAACTAAGAGTTATGCTTACCAATGGAATACCAATTTTCAAAGAATTAGAATGCAGTAAGTGAATGAAGTATAAAGTAGTATACAGTTACTCACCAATCCAGTAGTAGTACTGCACTGCAGTGTGGTTGGTTTCTTAAAGCACTTGGGTGTATACAGGTGAGATTTTCTATACAGTAGGTTATCTTATGACACTACATATCACTATGGGCAGCGCATAGCGTACACCCAGATCACTAAAAATACACTTAACACTAAAACTATACTGAACATAATTTAATAGTTGATTCAGAAGGCACTTCAGGATCTTGCAATGCCTCAGGGTCATCATTACCAACATCAGTTATCGCTGTTGATGTAGAAGGTGTAGGAGATTGGGCTGAATCTGTAAATGACTCTATGACACACCCTGGAAGCTGCTTTTTTTGAATAAATCCCTGATACCAGCTTGCTTGCTTGACTTCTGCCTCTTTTGCATAAAAGTTGAGTGCAGAATGTGCAATTGCATAACCTCCAGAGCAATAGACTAGTCCCGGTTACTAGATTGAAGATTTGTATTGGGAGATATTAGAAATGCCGATTAATAGAGCTTTCCGGTTGATAAAGTGCCCGATAACACAGATTTTACTGTATATAGTTAGTCTGTGGAGCTCATGGCCATGTGATATCACCTAAACTCAAGCTTAGGGTTAAAAAAATGATTAGACATTTAGATGGATAACATCCACTGTTATGTTATATAGAGGGGAAAAGATCTAAACCCTAAAGCGTCAGTACACAAGCCAATGACAAACATTGTAAAAGTTTTTATTAATCACTGCTGCCTTTCAGTTATGAGGGGACAGAGAGACAGACAGTTTATTTCTGGACTGGTATGTACTTGTTGCAAGAAACTTTGCAAATAAAAGTCCACCATTCCTGTTTGTTTTTAAATTCATTCTGCTAGTGTAAAATCTCCATTTTATAAGTGAAACTGCACATCTCATGTCTGTCTTGTCACACAACATATGCTATTAACACAGTCGTATTACAATGTGGTTATAGTCAGAAAAGTGACTAAACTTAGCACAGTCTTGCTCAGTAGATACATTTCCTGAATGTATTTAGTTGTCATCATCTTCCTTTTCTTTCCTGCATTTTACTTATTAGCTTTGTGGAGCTGATACAGCTATGAGAGTGTGAGTTGGATTATTTTCTCATTCACACATCAACATAAATAATATCCTAGCTTCACTTGCAGGATTCCATTGCTGCTCGTTAAATGTGAACCAGAAACAGCACAACTTATCTTTAAGACCTCCTACTAATTTTGCATTGCTAGCAGTTAGAAGATATCTGTCTGTAAAATGCACAAATTTGATATGGAAGTGTCTTCTATCAAACTCTAACCATGTTTTTAATTCTTTCTTTGAAATGGTGATCTATATGACCAGACTCCTTAGGCAGCATTTTTTAGACTGAAATAAACTGCTGAATTTCCTTTAGATCTTTTGGGAGTTAACATAACAAGCGTCTTACAATCATTTGCATTTCTTGCAGGGTATTATAGAAAAAGCCAAGGTCAAAGGAATTCCGATTGTCATTGATGCTGTAAGTATTTTTTTTTTCATACCATTTATTTGTCTGACATTTAAAAAGCTATGAAATAAATTTTTTTAATTGTCTTGTGCAGGATGGATTGTGGCTCATTTCCCAACAGCCCTCTCTTATTCAAGGTTACCAGCGAGCGATTCTTACTCCAAACTATATGGAGTTTAGCAGACTTTATGAAGCTATGGTGAGCTGCTGATTAATTTTTTGGTGATACATAAGTATGTATTTGTTACAATATCAACATATATTTTTTGAAAAATGAATCAAACACTTTCATATTGTTCCTTATCTATGTAAAAAGCATCCTGGGGATAAGTAAATCTGCATGTGATAGTTGTCATGACCACACTGGATCATTGCTTGGCACATCTTTAAAGCAAGCAAAAAAGAGAGATGCTTTTGAAACCATTTTCTTTTTTGGATGAATGGGAAGAATATAAAAAGTATAGAAAGACTGAAGAATAATTCTTTTTTTCATAGACTTAAATTGTTTGGTTTTGCATTAATGTTCAAATGAGTAATTCTGTATGGAATTCTTGTATTATAGCTTAGAGATCCTGTGGATAGCAATGATCACCATGGATGTGTGTTACGGCTCAGTCAAGCCATGGGGAATTTGACAATTGTTCAGAAAGGAGACAGAGATCTTATTTCAGATGGAGAAAAAGGTAAATGAAGTCTTCAGCTGTATGATTATTTTGGTTTTTAGTGGTTTTTTTGTTTGTTTTTAAATTGTGGTCCATCTGTAGCTGATTTATTTGATTCAAGGATTGATTTATACATTTTTGCACAGCACTTCAGATGTCTTTTGAAGCTTAATGCTTAAAAAAGTGGGTGTGATTTTTAGTGGCTTTGATGTGCAAGTCCTTTAACTTCCCTGTTCCCCTCTTTAAAATAGGCATAATACCTATCTACATCACATGGGTGTTGAGAAGCTTAATTTTTTTGTGAAGTTCTTTAAAATCCTCAGATGAAAGGAGTGCAATTATAAGTTCAATGTATTAACAAACTAGTTCCAGATGTATTTACTCAAGGGACACTTAGTTGTTTCACTACATATTGATGTGACTGAGGAATGAAGATGTGTTGAATGGCTCCATCAACTGCCTGGTCACCTGATATTATCCATCCTCTTATATAGATCTGCGAGCTCTTTATCAACAATGCTACAGGCAGTGATATACATCACTTATGTCTATTAGACTTACTGTATATGCCACATACTTTAGACTTAGCAATATTTTTGCTAAATTCTTTGTAGATAACAATTGCCCCTTTTAAAACTTCTATTTTAAAAAGTTGTTAAATTACTAGTTAGCAGTTTAAAAAAAGGAGTTGTTTGCTTGATGCCAAGATTTTCCAGTAATCAATAGAAAATTAAATCAAACAATGCCGTAATGCCCGTGAGACTGTGTGACCATGTTTTACATAACAAACGAGATAGCTGAGGTCTACCAGGAGCTGATATGAACTACCAATCTCCGACATGTGTATATGCCACTTTAACAATTATTTTATATATACACTGTCAGAAGTCAAAATATCCTGACTTCCAGTGTATGGCTGTCCCGTGGTGTGCTGTTAGTTGCCAACAGTGTTTTAGTACAATGTAGGATTTTTGCAATATTTGTTTTTCTTCACAGCTTCCTTATTACATACAGGTGTTTTCCTGGATGGTGGAAAGTGGGGGAATAGTTCTCTGTTCTCCTTTTGAAAATTGCCCATGCAGCTCCCCACTCCTTGGATAAGTGCATCCTCAGAATTTTCTAGAAGATTGGGCCATTCAGCCCCCACCCTCTCTCCTCACACAGGATTCAGAGGCCATAAAACAAGGCGTGCCCCAACTGTTCTCCAGTGCCTTTTGACCACCAGGTGTGCAATGAGCTCAGAGCAGATGTGGTGACTTTGAGGTTTCCTAATTGTTTCTCTTCTCTCTTCCCCAACCCTCCCCCCGGCTCTATTGAGTACTATTTTTTCATAGTTGTATAGCCATTCATTTTCTTTTTCATTTTAAAAAACAACTTTTTTCAATTGCCAGGCCATTACATGTGTTGTCTGAGGCCCTGCTGTGTTAGGTTGCTTCCCTTGTTATATTGGTCTCATCAGACCATATATTCAATATTTTCCCTGTCTTGGGTCCTTTGACATCTCAGGCAGCATTGTTGATGTTGCTAAGAAAGCAGTCTTCAGGTCCTGGGCTTAATACAGGGGTATGATGTCTATTACAAACGTCCATGTTTGTTTGTCATGCATGGGAAGAGGTTATAACCAATACAAGTATTCAGTTTCCAAAGTGCATCTCAGACTCCTGTTGACAGAGGTTCTTTGGACTCAGCCACCTGAGTCTGGGGACTTCTGGCAATGTTAAGAGGCATCGTGATGCCACAGAACTGCTTCTCAAAATTGCACTGACAGAGGAGGCTTCTGTGCTGCAGCTAAGGACCAATCTCTGTACCATATCCTTCCAAGATCTTTAGTCTTTACTTCTGCTGCTTCATCTGTAATTGTGGTCTCTTGTTTGATGTAATTTTTTATCAGATGAGACAACACACATGATGATTCTAGTTTGGGGAAAATCCATATAATCGGATTGGGAAAGTGTGCCCTGGGCACAATTCCATGTTCTGAAAGATTTTGTACTCCTGCTGCCTTCCTTTTTTTTTTTTAATTGCCGTTTTCCAACATTCTTTACCTTTCTCCTTCCAGGCATCTACTGCTTCAGCCTACGCATTTAGCACACTAATCCTTATTGTTTAAATACTGCAGTTTCCAGACCTCATCCTTACCTCTTACACATCTAGTGAAAAAATTTAAAAACTAAATCTGAATATGCTACAGAAAAGGTAAAAAAGTTGGAATTTTGAAGATAAAGCTTTCAGGCTGCTTTGTGCTTAGTTGGTGCAGAGGAAAGCCTTGAGCATACAGCTGTCTGTAGCAGTGAATACTATAGATTGATGAGCATTCTTTTTTTATCGATTGATTACATTGGCTAATTGCATACTTCTGTTCAAATGATTGTAAGGCAAATATAGTCATCACATGTAGCCTTTTTCTTTGGTATTTGAATCTGACAGACTAAAGAAGCTCAATCTATTTAGCTTAACATGGGAGAAGACTTGATCACAGTCTATAAGTACCTACATGAAAAGAAGATTTCTGTTAGTAGGGACCTTTAATCCAGCAGAAAAAAGCATAATGAGGTCCAGTGACTGAAAGCTGAAGATAGACAAATTCAGAATAAAATAAGACATGTATTTTTTAACTGTAAAGGTAATTAACCATGGGAATAATTTACCTAGGGACTTCATGGATTCTCAGTCACTGGATGTCTTTTTAAATCAAGACTGGATATCTTTGTAAAATATATGCTAAAGCACAAACAGAATATACGGGCTTGATGCAGAAGCCATTTGGTGCAATTCTGTGGCCTGTTATTCAGGAAGTCAGACTAGATTATCATAATGGGCCCTTCTGAGCTGTGAATTGTTCATTCACATACATAGTTCTTTGAGAAACCAGTAATAATTCTCTACTGTTTTTTCTGGAGAGTAAGAGGAGTTGTAATGTTTTTAAAAGTCTGAGCTTCAGGTATGCACTGCCAACTGCCCAGTGAACATAATTGGCAAGGTCTTTAATTAAGTCTATACACGTTTTTTTTTTCTCTTCTTTTGCAATTCTACATTATAGCCTGGTCTACACTTGTTGACTTCCTGCTCTACAAAGATGTGCCCCACCATTCTGTTGGTAGGTGATATCAGTACCATCACTGATCAGGGCAGGCGTGAGTACTCAGCATAAGGGGAAAAGGTAAGTCAGCTTTTATTCAATATGGCACAGCTCTCTAAGGTTTTCTTTTTATTATTCTTTGGAGAACTGGGCAATAATAAAGTGTGGTTATACCGGTTTTTGTTCCTAACAGGTTTAAATTTTAGTTAGGTCCTTGAAGTGTCTGTATTTTGACTTTTTTTTTAATTAATTATGTTTTTCTCCAGTCCTGTATCAGTTACTGGCTTCCCTCCTGAAAGCATAGCTTGAAAAGACACAGTCTCTGACAAGTAGCCAGCTAGCTTCTTCCCCAAGCCTCCCTCTGCCAGTAGGTAGCAGCAGCATGCTACCCTCTTCAGTTCCTCTCCTACTGCTTGGAGACATGTGTATGAGAAAGTAAGAAAGCATCAGGTGAGGGGAGTATCTTGCTATTGAACAGAGGTTAAAAAGCCACCTCCTGGCATAAGAGCCAGTCCAGTGCCAGTCAGGCCTTGAATTAAAGGCCCCATATCCTCCCCCTACTCTCTTTTTATGGCTGGATAAGTGGCTATTCAGCTGCTTGTTAGAGTCCCTGTCTTGCTCGGCTGCTTTTGCAATGTCCGAGCATCTAATAGATTCTTCTGATCTCTTAATCAGAGGACAGGATGTTTGTTCCTTTTCTGCATCCCCAAGCTAGACGTGATTGAGAGATTGCAGTTCCAGTGCACTGGTTCGATATACACTCTACTGAGCACAGCCTATATTCTCCCTGGCACTATTCTATACCACCTGCCATCAGAGCAGCTCCTCTGTTCCTGCCTCCATCAAAGAAACAGAGATGACTGGAAAATTAAAATGAAATCTGACTTTTATTTTTTTTATTTTTTAACTTTCAAACAATTGGTTTCTTACTCTCAAGGACCTAGCTAAATTTTAAGTGTGATTAGGGAATATAACAGTATAAACACCCTTTAAATAAAAGCCAGCTTACCTTTCCCACATCACTAGAGTGATTACTCCAGCCCTAGTCATTAGCATTTATATTGCTCTTCTTTTGCATGCTGGGGCATGTCACCAGGATTCCTTTGTGGACCAACCTGCAAAAGAGAAAAGGTTAAAATGTTACTCATTAGTATTAATAGTTGCAAGGTCAAATAAATGTATTTATCAGGGATTTCATTCAAATTGAAATAACTTTCTTAAAGCTGAATCTTCCATTTAAGGAAGGAAAATGGTCCTTGATAGCTATCTGAAGTGGCCAAGTAAGATTTATGTGTGAAAACTGATGTTGTCTGAGAGAAAGTTTTGGAAGAAATATAATTCTGTTTGGGGCCAGACAGTATGTGAGACCTGCACTTACAGCACCTTTCATCTGAGGATCTCTGATTACTTTAAGAAGGTGGGTAAGAGGCATTATCCCCAATTTGTAGATGGGGAAACAAGCACGGAGAAAGTTAAGTGACTTGCCTGACCTATTACAGACAGGAATTAGACAAGCATAGTCGGGAATATAACTCTGAATTCGTGTCTTGGTCTACAACCTCGTTATACATATGTCACTTTAAATCTTTACACTAGTCATTATCTTTACCAGTGTTACTTAAGCATTTGGTCATAGCTAGAACTTTCCCATATCTCACATTTAAAATAGGAATAAATAAAATAAAAAAAACTATGAACATGAATATCTAAAATTAACCTAATCATTCTGATTAACATTTTATAAATCAAGCATTGATGGCATACTACGAATAACCTGAGTTTTGCTGTGTTGAATATTTCCATGCATGTTGATTTTTCAGATTATATCATGCCCTTAATAGCAAGTGCTGTAAGTAAGACTGCTTGTTTATAACCTCCTGTTTTCACATAACTTCCTGATTTTAGGGTGAAATTATCCATGATTGATGTTAGCAAAACGATTAAATTATTTTTGGAATTTTGGAGAACCTCCAGCCATTTTGATTTAAATTAGGGGAAAAAAGATTTTTTTTCCTAAGCATAGCATCCTCACAGGAGTCTCACTCTGGGTTTTGAGCACCCAGTGTGCTACAGAATAGGAACTCCTTCAGTTCAAAACTTTTTGGCAATGGTAGCTGGGCATGAGGGTTCCTATCTAACGTGCCCTCTTAATATCTAAGCACCTTACAATTTTTAATGTGTTTTAACCTCAATAGATCTTTGTGAGGTAGGGAAATGCCCATTTTATAGATGGGAAATACAAGCACAAGAGAGACGAAGTGACTTGCCTAGGGTTGCATAGGAAGTCTATGGCAGAGCTAGGAAATGAACCAGGTCCACTGAACCAATTGAACCACTTTGCTCCAAATCTTCTCGTGTTATATACTCATAGAGTTTAAGGCCAGAAGGTGACTGTTCAATCACCTAATCTGACCTACTGTGTGACACAGGCTATTAAATTTCACCCAGTTATCCCTGTAGTGAACTCAAATCACTTGTTTGGCTAAGGCCAATCTTCCAGAAAGGCATTTAGTCTTGGTAGTTTGTTGCAATGGTTGATCACCCTCGCTGTAAAAATGTTGTACCTGACTTAAGTTGAATTTGTCTGGCTTTGTCTTCCAGCCATTGGTTCTTGTTAAGCCTTTCTCCACTAAAAAGCCCCTTTATACCTCTTATTTTCTCTCTGTGAAGGTATTTACACACTGTAATCAAATCACCTCTTCATCTTCTTTTTGATAAGATATACAGATTGAGTTATTTGAGTCTCCCACCGTAAGGCATTTCCTATCCCTCAAATAATTTTTGTGGCTCTTTTCTGCACCATCTCCAATTTTTCAACATTGTTTTTAAAATGTGGGCACCAGAAGTGGACACAGTGTTCCAGTATCTGTTTCACCAGTGCTGTGTACAGAGGTAAAATAATCTCCGTACTTCTATTCACTTCTCCCCTGGGTATAGGTCCAAGGATGGCATTAGCCCATTTTGCCACAGTATTGTGCTGGGAGCTCACGTTTAGTTGTTTGTCCACTGTGGCGCCTTTTCAGAGTGACTGCTTTCCAAGATGCAGTTCCCCATTCTGTAGGTGTGGCCTGCATTCTTTGAATTTGGCTGTATCAAAATGCATTTTGTTTGAATGGGCCTAGGTTACAGAGAGATACAGATTGCTCCGTATGACTACCCTTTCCTCATTATTATTTACCTTTTTGCCAATCTGTCATTTGCAGATTTTATATTTACTTCTAGATTATTGATAAAAATGTTGAATTGTGTTGAGCTTGTAGCTGGAGTCCTAGTGGAAACACCCCATTCAATGATGATTCTCCATTGACAAATCTAAAGAAGTAGTTGTCAGCCAGTTTTTAATCAGTTTAACAAGAGCTCCATTAATATTGTATAATTCCAGTTTTATAATGAGCATCGTGATACACTAAGTGAAACACCTTACAAGAAGTCTAAGTTTATTATATCAATGGAGTTATCGTTATCAACCAAATTTACAATCTCTCCAAAGAATGGAATCAGGTTTCTTTGCCAGGACCTATTTTCTATAAAACAATGTTGACTGGTATTAATTTATATTCCTATTGTTTATCAGTTGAATCCCATATCAGCTTTTCTGTTACATTTTCTGGGATTGATGTCAGGCTAACCAACCTGCAGTTACCTAGGTCATCCTGCTTGTCGTTTTTGGATATTGGCACATTAGCACTCTTCCAGTCTTCTAGAATTTCCCCAGTATACTGTGATTTATTATAATTAACATCAGCGGGTGAGAGATCTCTTCAGCCAACTCTTTTAGGACTCAAGTGCAAGTTATCCAGGCCTGCTGATTTTAAAATGTTTATGCCTTGCAATTCTTGTCTAACATCCTCTTTAGTAACTAATGGTCTGGAAAGTACTTCATTCTTTTATGATACAAGTGCATCATCCTGCTTCTTTCCAAATACAGAACAGAAATATTTATTGAATTCTTTTCTGCACCATTTAATAACAGTTATACCACCTCTGTCTAGTGATGGGCCAACACCATTGCTACTAGCTGCCACTGCTCCATGCAGGGTGTATGGAAGGTCAGCCACATGGTCGTTCCTGCCCATTTTTACAAACATCTGTTGCTTAGATTTGGCCTCTGGGGAAGAGCCCCAATCTAAATTCTTAGTACTGCAGAACCTGTTTCCAAGACCAGGTGCCCTACAGTTCCTTTGTGGGGGTCAAAGAGATCTCTAACTGAACTAGCCAAACTTTTGAAAAAGCATCACAAAGACATATCCTCTGAGGCTCTGCCAGTCCGTCAGTTTATGCCTTTGTTGTTGCTTGGAAGTATTTTATTCCTTTTTATTTATTTTAATTTTAAAAGTTCACAGGTCTTAATACTGGTCATCAGTCTTTTTTTCTTTTCGCAATGCGCTTACTGCAGTGTGTCAACCTTCTATCTTGAAACATATCTTGAGTTACTGAGTCTCCAAGACTGAGACTTGTGAGGGTGATGGTACCTTTTCCCATTATGTAAGTTACATACATGGAATTCTGCTTCTCTGAAGCTTCCTCACTGATTTGTGCCCCATCATCTCTGCTTATGCTTTTGTTACCTTCTAGGTGGTGTGTACATATGAGGCTTGCAGAAATCTTTTACTTTATAGTTTTATTTTATAATGGGCTTAGTGTGAAGAGCAGTTGCTTCACAATTCAGAGCTGACTAGACGGCTAAGGGACTGCGAGGTAGTGGCAGATGGTGACACGTGGCTAATAAGCAGGGGCTGAGATGGCCAAAATAAAAGCTTTGAGCGGAGGATTTTCCATCCTGCCTCCTGCCAAGAGTTCAAGACCTTCCAGTGAAAATCCTGTGATGTATTATCTTCAGAATAGCAGAATTAGAGAGATTTCTCCCCAAACTATATCACCTTTGTCACACAGCTAATTAAAAAAAAAAACCCCTGACCTTTGAAACTTGACACACAAATAGTACACACTGAGAAACACATCCATAATCGAAGGTGGAGGGAGGAGTGATTGAAAAATTAACTTCTGGGCATGTTGTGGTGGCATCTGCTAAAATGTTGTTAGTGATTAATAAATCCGTGCCCTCTTGATGACACCAACAAAGCACAGTTGCTTGGCCTGATGAGCCCAGATGGATTACTGCTGAGACAACTGGCAGGAGAGAGAGGGGCTCATAGTATATTTCTCTGTCACACCCACCAACAAAGAGAGAGTACAGCCTTAGAGCTGAACTGGAAAGGGTGTGATTGTGATAACCGGATTTTAAATGCTATTGTTTAAGCACGTGCAAATAAATTTCCCCAATGTTTCATGCAAATTGCCCCACTTTCTAAATAAAAAGGTTCAATGGTTCCTCTTGCAGAAAATTCATGTGAGAGCAGCTCAGGTATTTAAGATGAACAGTAATGTTCAGGGGTCTTGGGGAAGTCGAGGCCAGGACCTAGAGGTGGACGTTAGAGACTTGGAGCAGGGGTTGATGTCCCAAGTAATTGCTTCCCTGCTGGACAGATTCTGTTTATTCTGGATCTGGGAGAGGCTTTGTGACCCTTGCCCCATAGCCCAGCAACAAAGAGAGAAGAGGGGGTGAGTCTAGTTGTTTCCCTGGAGGAGGGATTTTGGAGGGGATGTGCCTGAATTCATTTTGTTTTCTTTTTATTTGCTTTGTGAGCCCTTGCAGCTCAGTATGTCTAGAATGGAGGAAAGTGATCCTGTGGGCAGTAGGAGTTGGATTACAGCTAAACTATTTGCATGCCCATACTATCTTGAATTCACCCCATGAAGCTGGGTGCCTTCAGAGTAAAAATGCAAAATCTAATACTGTGACCTAACCTTTCCATAGTAACACTGTTGACAAAGAACAGAAGAAAATCTCAGTTGCAAAGGCCTGAACTTGCCCCTTCTCTCTCCCCCCCCCCCCACTAAGAAAATAACTTTAAATGTTACCTGGAACCTATTAAGCACAGGCAATCTCTTCCCTAAATAAAAGGAAAAAAGCGCACGCGCACACACACACACACACAAGTAATGCAACATAAAGGTGTCACAATTAACATTTATAAAAATAGTAATACCCATTGCTTATATAGTTTATCAGTAGATCTCAAAGCACTTTATAAAAGGGAGGTAAGCATCATTCCCATTTTACACATGGGGAAACTGAGGTACAGAGAAATTAAATGACTTGCCAAGGTCACTGGTAGGCCAGTGGCATAGCCAGGATTTGAATCCAGGTATCCTGAGTATCAATCCAGTGCTCTGTCTTCTAGGTGGCTTCTACAACAGTGATAACATGACTATGGTGAATGTATTGTGTAGTTTCTTACATTTAACAACAGACAGAACTATTTCATTACATACTTAACAAGGAAAAGCCAAAATAAACAGTTCTAAATACATTCAGTGTGGCCGAGTTAAAGTTGCAGAAATTAAGGTAATGGGAAAATTCAATTTCTATAGCTACATTAACAGAACATTAACAGCGCTTTGCAATAATTTCTCCTCATTCCTATAAAATGTAATTAGTTTTGCAGACAACCTTTTGTGGGAAGTGCGGGCTACTTGAAATAGCCTGATAGATGCTGGATTCCGATATTAATCTTTGTAACAAGTTTCTGTTTTAAAAAAAAATTGTTCTCTCAATCATTTCATGTTGAGCATTGTATCTGTAGACTGAGTGGGTATTAATGTAATTTATATGGTGTCCGTGATAATATTAGTGCTATATGATGCACACAAAGTAAAAGATTTCAGAGGAACCTTTGTCTCATTTTCCAAAGCGCTTGAGTCTCATTAATGTTCAATGGGACTTTGGCTCCTAAATGACTTTTAGATGCTTTTGAAAATTTTACCCACAGTCCTTTCTCCTGAGAGTTTACAGTGTGTTAAGAGACCCAGAAAACTTCTGTGCCCTAATCTTCTGTTAATTTTTAAAAAATTGCCTACCCCCTTTTATTGGGACAGTTAATGCAGATACTATAAGATGTTAATGTTTTGATAATTATTTATGGCCTTTGAAAGGGATACGTTGATCAAATTTTGCCCACGATGTAGGTTTTATTTAAAAAAAAAAAATTCCAAGCAGTATTTACAACCCAAACACTACAAGTTAGTTGGTTGGTTTCTAATTATATTTCTTTCCCCTGCTCCATCTTTGTAAATCACTTGTCAGATTCGTAAATGCTTCAGGTGAGACTTTTTTGTGCTTTGTGTTTGTACAATGGCTCATACAGTGGAGACCCAGCCCTGATTGGGGCTTCTGGTCATTATGGTAATATAATTAATAATAGTGCATGAAAACCTACATGTGAAATTGGCTAGAGACAGTCTATTTTCCATGCTGAGAGGAATGGAAAAAGTAAACTGCATACTAGATAAGTTTTATTTTTAAATGATTTTGCTTTTAATCATTGAAAGATGCTTTTTTAGAAATGGGTGATGGCGTCTTCTTTAAAGTAAATTCTAACCTGACAGTGTCTCTCCTCAGAGAAGAAATGTTCTAGCATACCTTGCATTTCCAGTGTTTCCTCAGCCCTCACAGCCATGGTAGTATGTCACATAAATAGAGGGTAAGTATACATGACCCTTTGTTTTTGGTTTCTTTGTAGTACTTGTATGCAGTCATGAAGGAAGCAGCCGAAGATGTGGTGGACAAGGGGACCTTCTTTCAGGTTCTCTTGGAGTCTTGGCACACTGGGCATTTCTTGCTGGACCAGAAAAAACTAATGGGTATGATTTCATTAGTTACTTCTTTTATCTCATATGAGCCCATGTTCTTCGCAGCAACGCCTGTAGAAACGTTAAGAAACCCAACGAATCTGAATTTGGGACACTGACTGACACCCTGACAAACTTTGTGTTGTAGAGTAGACCATAGTCATTGTAATAGTTCTGATTTTGATGAAGTCAAACTGTCTCTTGACTCTGAGGATGGCTCAAGATCACAAGGCAGAAAAGCAATACAAACCTGAATTGATTTCCAAGAATATTTATTTACCAGAACATATGTTTTTAAAATGAATTTCATAGACAGAATATATATCAGACATAATATTAAATAAATGGCAGTTGCTGTACAGCAGTGAAATCTCAACAATATACAAATATATATATAATTTTGTTTTCTCTCTGTGGTGTATTGATGATGATTTGTGTTGGTACAATCAGGTGATTCTACAAATGTAATTTGTCATTTAAATTATAAATGTATAAATAAATTCTAAAATACTAATGGACTAACCGAAGAATCAACTAAACTAGTTACAGGTACTTAAAAGCATTTCATTTGGATATGTCAAAATCTCAGAAGTAATTTGGCTTCAGAATAAAACATTTTAAAATAAAAGGTCATTGCCAGCTGTTTTAAGACTATATAATAATTCCTATCAGATCAGACTAGTGATCCAGATAGTTCTATATCCTTTGTGTAGCCAGTACCGCTGCTTCAAAGGAAATCACAAAAAAATTCTGAAGTACACAGTTATGGAATAACTCTCCCTGTTTTTCTAGTACTTTAGGAACAGGAGATAGTCTCATTAGCCATATAAATATGTAATCCTTTTTTGAATCCTGCTCTACTCTTGGCCTCAATGGTGTATTGTGCCAATCAGTTCCACAGGTTTTGCACCATGTTAAAGAATTTCCTTTTGTATATTTTAAATATGTTGCCTTTTTAAATTTAATTGCATGACCCCTTCATTTTTCTATTGTGTGTGTGTAAATAGGATCATCCCATTTACTTTCTTTATACTAAATGTTTTTTTATACTTTCTTATGATGCACCTTATTACATGTCTTTTTAATCTCTCCTTGTGGCAGTTTCTGTATGCTTCTAGACATTTTCATCATCCCCCCGTCCCCCTTTTAAAACCCTTCTGTTTTCACTATATCTGTTTTGAGATAAGGTAACCAGGACTGAACACAGTATATTGGGTTAGGGCATACCATTGACTCAGAGTATTATAAAATTATCAGTTATTTTTCTTTTACATTCTTTATTCATCTTAATATTGTTTGCTGTTTTGATCACCAGTGTGCATGGAAGATGTTTTTCAGTGAACTATCCACAGTGATCATAGAATCATAGAATATCAGGGTTGGAAGGGACCTCAAGAGGTCATCTAGTCCAACCCCCTGCTCAAAGCA